TAATCTTAAATTGTTCATCATATCCAACCAGCTATTTTACATCTGTGTTATCGCCTCTCAATATCCTAGACCTTCTGGTTAGATCAGGCTTGCTGAATAACTCTCAAGGGGGAGACTCGTTTCTCCTACAGGCTGAGATCATAACAATCCCCTCCCCTTATTTTTGAGAGTTATTCCAGTGGCAAAGCTCGGGATAATACATCTGCCACCACACTGTCTCGTTCTTCAACCGATTGATTCGACCGGTTGATCTGCTTACGTACTCCCCTAGGAGTCTACAATTAGTTCGTTGCTCCTTGCAACATCTGGCTCACAACTCCCCAGAAACATGATCTTCTCACAAACGATCTGACTTCTCTGGCACCTCTTCGCTAGGCTGTCCTCCTTGGACGCCTGCACTCCATCGGTCCACTCTACTTACTGTTTCTACCCTCCGTTTCCTCGTCTTCTTCTCTTCTCGTCCAGAGTCAGACACCTACTATCTATACCTCCTCTGTCGTCTTCACACTTCCATCTACTTCCATTATACTTCCGTCTCCTGTCATCATACTTCACTTCCTCGTCTTCACCGACGATCCTCCCTTTCGTCTCCTCATTTATCCGAGACCTCATCCTGTTTGACCTCCATCGAGTCCTCGGCTTTCTTCTATTCCTCCATGCTTGCATCATCATCCTCTTCCCACACTTCTCACCACTATACAACTCCATTTCTTCTCCTTCAACTCTTCTTCGTTCCCTAAAAGTTTCCTCGAGCACTGTACTACAACCAACAGCACGCGACCGTACATGTCGCTTTGCCTCTCCTAGAGTGCTCGTAAGCATCTCTCCACACATACCGTCTCTTCTCCTTTCATTTCCTCGGCTATTACTCTTCTTCACTATCTTTTCTCCACGTTTTCTGTGAAACATGTCAACTCCTGACACCTCAAACAACTTAACTCTACTATCCAGATGCCTCTGTGCTCGTGGACAACTTGACACTCTACTCCCGTCCTCAGTCTGTCCACATCTTTCCTCCTTCCTACTCAGCACAGTTGCATTCGCCTTCCGACTCTTAATTTCAGCAGGCTGAGCTCTACTCAGGTCCATTCTCTTCACATGAGTCTTCTTCGGCTGGGTCATCTTCACTTTTGACCTCACCGAGACTCCATTTTCCTGGGCTGGACCTTCATCAAACAGCCATGCTATATCTACGTCGACATCTTCCACCGGCTGAATTGACACTGTCTCACCTTCTCCAGTGTCTTCCTCATCGGCCACCTCTGCCTTCGTCACTACCGAGACAGGGTTTTCAATGGCTTGGCGGTCTCCTGACTCATCTCCTCGGATGTCAGTCAGGTTCACACTCTCAGGTGTCCCACCCGTGCCGTGGCCTCCTGGGCACTCTTCTGGCACAGTCTCCGCCATGACTCTTGGCAACACCTTTGTCCCGCACAAGTCATTCCCCAGGATCACTTGGACTCCTGGAACAGATATGTCGGGGCATACTCCCAACATCACCTCTTCCGACGCATATTCCGACCTTAGCTGGACAGTACAAACAGGCATGTCACTCTAAGACAATAACCCATATACTTTCATGTTCCCACTGCCAGCTAACCGTCGATCATTCCCAATCAGGCTTCTCGCAATCAAGCTCTGATTAGCTCCGGTATCTCTTAAGATACCCACTTCTACCTCAGGTTGGCCTCCTATACTGATCCAACCTTTACTCATGAACGGCTTATATCTCTCGTTCACTAAGTTCATCTTCTGTGGTTTGTCTTGGAACACATTATTATATCTACTTCGGGGGTCACACATGGTCAGGGTCACAACTCTTTTGCCCTGCCGACAGTCTCGCATCATGTGACCCAACCTGTTACATTGGTAACATCTCATCTGTGAAAAGTCTCTTCTATATGTACCAGAGTGGCTCTGACTTTGTCCACTCGCATGAGAGTTCCTCGGGCCAGGTTCACTACCTGCACTCTGTGGGGCTTTACTGGACTCTTGATTTCCTGGATAATGATTAGTTTCTCGTTTAGCTCTTCCATCTTCACTTTCAGACGAAGTGCGCGACCTACTCTTCTGAGTTTTAGGGTACTTACTTTTATCTGCCCATTTATCAAAATTCTTCTCACCCCAGACTCCTCTGGTTCTTTCATAATTTCTTCCTCCCCAGACTCCACTGGATCTGCTATTGCTGCATCTCGCCTCACTTCTCACTCTGTTCTCCCTCAAGCTCTTGTATGCTTCAGTAATCATATCCGCCCTATCTGCGGCATCCTTCACATCCTTTATCCCTGCTTCTTGGATCTTGAACTTTGTTTCGGGATGCATCATCTCCAAGAACTTCTCCATGACCATCAGTTGCTTCAGGTCAGCATAAGATCCAACTCCAGCAGCCTCAATCCACTTCTGGAATCGTCTTTCCAGATCTCTTGCTGTCTCAGCAAACGTACACGCTCCAATTTTGATCATCTCTCTGAAACGCTTCCTATAAGCTTCTGGGGTTAGCTGAAACGAGCGCAATATGCTGCTCTTTAGTGTGGCATAATCCTGGCACTCTTCTAGTGACAATTGGGTGTACGCCTCCCTGGCTGCACCGGTCAATCTTAACTGAACCAGCTGGGTCCATTCCTCCTGTGGCCACTCCTTGATGCTGGCTACTTTTTCAAAGTGCTCGAACAACCCTCATGCTCAGCTTGCTGCTAAATTAAGCACCATAGAACACATTCACAATATACAAACTGAAAACCACATTGCATAGACCATATACACTGCCGGATCACTCAATACAGCTACAGGGAGGGCAGGAAGTGCTGTTATTGCTCATCAGCCCGATGGCAGCACAATGCAAAGGAATATCTGAATTAGTAACTGGGCATCCACAATGCAAGCCGAGTTGGTAGCAATACTGGTAGCACTCAAAATTATTGACAACACTGAAGTAGACAGCTTAATTATTTCCGGCTCCCTTTCCTCACTAGGAGCAATAAACAGTTTGCAATCAAGTAATAACGTGCTTGTCTTGGAAGCTAGACGTAGATATATAAGAATACTTAGCAAGAGGGTAAATATAAAATTGTTGTGGATTCCTTCTCACATTGGCATGCAGGAACATGACAAAGTTGACGCCCTTGCTAAGGCTGCAGTAAATAAAGACAGTATTGAACGGAATCTTGAGTTATTAAATAGGTCCCTTAAAAGTGTCATTAGACATGAACTCCTGGATGGATTTGAAGAAAGTAGAACAGTGCAAATTGGAATCAGCAGGTCCATTGTTCATCACAATGAAATGTGTGAAGTAAAACATGTGTATGGGGCAAGTAACAAAGTCAGTAGACTAACAGATGTTGTCACAGCTCGTATAAGACTTGGCTACAAGTATCTCTGGCAGTTCGGTTTGTATAGGGATCTAGATGAAGTAAGGTGTAGTGTGTGGACAAAGACAGGGACACACACTCGAACACTATATCTTGGACTGTAGTAAAATTGAGCCATTTAGAGATAAATCTAAGCTCACTCTGTATGATATGGCAACCTATCTTATTACCATGGATAAATTACCTGAAATCCTTGCACTATTATCCACAATTCGCTTCCAGTAGATAAACGACATATGAGATGAAGAAACAAGTAGTGTATTGTGAAGACTAATAATAAACAGCAGCTCCCCTATGACTATCTCCAATGGTCAAACTATTATGTATTAGCGATAAGACCTACCATTAATGTATAATGACTTACTGTAAATATATAGCTCTTGAAATAGCACTTTCTCTGTAACTAGCTGACATTGTAACTATAAGGTGTGAAGGATAGATGAAATTGTTTATGTAATAATCTAAGATGAGGTCTGATAAAGACCTTTTGTGCCTTCTGTAATGCTTTTTGCGCTACCGCTCACAGGATGAGTATGGGGTGCACAATAAACAATCAAAAGAGCCCCCACAGGCATGACCACCCTCCAGGCTTCTGGTCGCCTCTAATATCTTCATAATCACTGAGAAATGACATACGTCACGTCCTCGTCAGCTTCCTCACCAGTTGTACACTGCAACCTTCACACAAACACTTTATCCTGAAATGTATTCTTCTATCTTCCCAGGAGACATTGACGCACGTCCATTCCTGACGATTGTAGCAACTCACGTGACGCGTTACGATGTCTGTCTGCGTCACGTCACGTCACAGAAAGTCGACATCTTATTCCATCTAACTTTTATAAGACTCGTCCTCTGCTTGTATTCTTTAAAAAAAATTAATTTTGCCCCGAGGGGCGAGTTTATTGGGCAGCGGCACTCATCTTGTGAGTTTTTAGTCACTCACTGGCGTTTACTTAATTAACTTCCTTCCCCTGCAATCCTACTCTCTGGTCAGGTGTGCAGAATAACTCACCTGGCAGATCCACTCCGCTAAGCTACCTGGGGTCATAGCACCATACATAGTCGTACACTATTAAATATTGAAAGGCTGAGCATAGTTAGTACAGTGGTGTATTCTGTTCACGACAAGGTTATAGAGAGAGATGAGGGAAGGAGCGATGATGGATAAGGGAAGCTGTGAGGGAGGGAGGCAGGAAGGAGGGAGGGAAGAAGGTAGAGAGGAATGCAGGGAGGGAGGAAGCAAGAGTGGGAGTTAGGGAAGTCATTGGTATTGAGGGAGGGAGAGAGGGAGGGTACACACTACTCACCATGACTTGCAGTACATGAGAGCAGGTGGCGGCGGGACCCCGGCGACCCACCAGTCTGGTCCCAGCCTCGACCGTGTGTGCACGCCTCGCCCCGCCCTCCATCCAAGTAAGTTTGACTCATACTTAAAGATTATTATTATTAATACTGAATATACATATATATATATATATATTATATATATATGAGAGAGGACAAAATAACTTTTAATCACGTATAAAAGGCTATTGAAGAAAACTGTTAGGGGGAACTATAGGGAGGTACAGTATCTAGGCGGAAGTGTTATTGTAATGACGATAACACTGACCGACAGGAGATAACACAGATAACTAGATATATAACTACGGCTGTGAGAGGAGGTGGATGCTCTTCGTGCCGAAGTGGGACGCCCTCGTCAGTCTTGGAGTAACACTCGTACTTGTGCCTACAAGAGACGGAAGTGTATGACAGATATGGTGTGTTGTGTTCACGATGGGTAATAGTGGGAAGCCAAACCGTCACCAGCCAAGTGTGGCGCTGGTGTGTGTGTCCTTGAGTCCCTGGGAAGGTGGTGGCCCGGGGGCGAACGGACGTGTTTGTGAATGTGACGGAGGGGGAGGGTAGTGTGTGTGTGTGTGACGGAGGGAGAGGGGGTAGTGTGTGACGGAGGGAGAGGGGGTAGTGTGTGACGGAGGGGGAGGGTAGTGTGTGTGTGTGACGGAGGGAGAGGGGGTAGTGTGTGACGGAGGGGGAGGGGGTAGTGTGTGACGGAGGGGGAGGGTAGTGTGTGTGTGTGTGACGGAGGGAGAGGGGGTAGTGTGTGACGGGACGGAGGGGGGGGAGGGGGTAGTGTGTGACGGAGGGGGAGGGTAGTGTGTGTGTGTGTGACGGAGGGAGAGGGGGTAGTGTGTGACGGAGGGGGAGGGTAGTGTGTGTGTGTGTGACGGAGGGAGAGTGGGTAGTGTGTGACGGAGGGGGAGGGTAGTGTGTGTGTGTGTGACGGAGGGAGAGGGGGTAGTGTGTGACGGAGGGGGAGGGTAGTGTGTGTGTGTGTGACGGAGGGAGAGGGGGTAGTGTGTGACGGAGGGGGAGGGTAGTGTGTGTGTGTGACGGAGGGAGAGGGGGTAGTGTGTGACGGAGGGGGAGGGTAGTGTGTGTGTGTGTGACGGAGGGAGAGGGGGTAGTGTGTGACGGAGGGGGAGGGTAGTGTGTGTGTGTGTGACGGAGGGAGAGGGGGTAGTGTGTGACGGAGGGGGAGGGTAGTGTGTGTGTGTGTGACGGAGGGAGAGTGGGTAGTGTGTGACGGAGGGGGAGGGGGGTAGTGTGTGTGACGGAGGGGGAGGGGGTAGTGTGTGACGGAGGGGGAGGGGGTAGTGTGTGTGACGGAGGGGGAAGGGGTAGTGTGTGTGTGACGGAGGGGGAAGGGGTAGTGTGTGTGTGACGGAGGGGGAAGGGGTAGTGTGTGTGACGGAGGGGAGGGTAGTGTGTGTGTGACGGAGGGGGAGGGGGGGGTAGTGTGTGTAACGGAGGGGGAAGGGGTAGTGTGTGTGACGGAGGGGGAAGGGGTAGTGTGTGTGACGGAGGGGGAAGGGGTAGTGTGTGTGACGGAGGGGGAGGGTAGTGTGTGTGACGGAGGGGGAGGGGGTAGTGTGTGTGACGGAGGGGGAGGGGGTAGTGTGTGTGACGGAGGGGGAGGGGGGTAGTGTGTGTGACGGAGGGGGAAGGGGTAGTGTGTGTGTGACGGAGGGGGAAGGGGTAGTGTGTGTGTGACGGAGGGGAAGGGGTAGTGTGTGTGTGACGGAGGGGAAGGGGTAGTGTGTGTGACGGAGGGGGAAGGGGTAGTGTGTGTGACGGAGGGGGAGGGGGTGTGTGTGTGACGGAGGGGGAGGGGGTAGTGTGTGTGACGGAGGGGAGGGGGTAGTGTGTGTGACGGAGGGGAGGGGGAGGGGGTAGTGTGTGTGACGGAGGGGGAGGGGGTAGTGTGTGTGACGGAGGGGGAGGGGGTAGTGTGTGTGACGGAGGGGGAGGGGGTAGTGTGTGTGACGGAGGGGGAGAGGGTAGTGTGTGTGACGGAGGGGGTAGTGTGTGTGAGTGTGATGGTGGGGGGGGGGGCAGTGTGTGTCAGTGTGATGGAGGGGGAGGGGGTAGTGTGTGTGACGGAGGGGGAGGGGGTAGTGTGTGTGAGTGTGACGAAGGGGGAGGGGTAGTGTGTGCGAGTGTGACGGAGGGGGGAGAGGGTAGTGTGTGAGTGTGACGGAGGGGGTAGTGTGTGTGAGTGTGACGGAGGGGGGTAGTGTGTGTGAGTGTGACGGAGGGGGAGGGGGTAGTGTGTGTGAGTGTGACGGAGGGGGAGGGGGTAGTGTGTGTGAGTGTGACGGAGGGGGAGGGAGTAGTGTGTGTGACGGACGGGGGGAGGGGGTAGTGTGTGTGAGTGTGACGGAGGGGGAGAGGGTAGTGTGTGAGTGTGACGGAGGGGGAGGGGGTAGTGTGTGTGACTGTGACGGAGGGGGAGAGGGTAGTGTGTGAGTGTGACGGAGGGGGAGGGGGTAGTGTGTGTGAGTGTGACGGAGGGGGAGGGGGGTCTGTAGTCTAAGGGAGCCCATTCTCAGACCAGTTCCCTAACACGAGGACCCAAACCCACTCTCAAACCACCTAAATAGTTATCTAGATATTTGTGATGGTCTGAAAACATATTTTGGTTCTAGTCTATATGTAAACTGACATATGAACCTTTGTCATAAACAGAGATTATTCTTAATTAAGTAATAATTTTATTGTAATGTTAATCATTAAATTTTAAAATATATAAAGTTTATGCTGAAAACAGTTTCTTTAAAGAATTTGGTTTTCTGTTAACAGAATTCGCAGGTATACTCAAATAGGTTTCGAATTCCACATTTTGCGTTATTGTTTGTCAATAATACATCTTATTAACATAACCAAATGTTATGAAATCTAACCTAACCTATTTTATCGTTAACCTAAAGAAACTGGAGCCTAGCTTAACTATGGGTAATAGTTAATAGCACTAATTATACAGTAAATAATTCCACTAATTATGTAATCATTCCCAATCCATTCCCATGAACGGATCTCCTCCCTGAGGACAGATTGTGGAGTTAAAGGGGCCAGTAAGTGTATTCACTTAGTTGTATTCACCTAGTTGTGCTTCCAGGGGTGCTGCTCAGCCCCGGCAAGCACGGGGTCAACCCCTTTCGGCCCGTCTCTCAACTGTTAATCGATCAACTTTTGTGTGTGTGTGTGTGTGACGGAAGGAAGGGGAGAGTGTTTGTGTAACGGAGGGGAGGGGGGAGTGTGTGTGATGGAGGGAGAGGGGGGAGTGTTTGTGTGACGGTATGAGGGAGTATATGCGAGGGAGGGAGGGAGGGACCGTGTGTGAGAGAGAAGGGGTGAGCGTGAGGGAGGGACCGTGTGTGAGAGAGAAGGGGTGAGCGTGAGGGAGGGACCGTGTGTGAGAGAGAAGGGGTGAGCGTGAGGGAGGGACCGTGTGTGAGAGAGAAGGGGTGAGCGTGAGGGAGGGACCGTGTGTGAGAGAGAAGGGGTGAGCGTGAGGGAGGGACCGTGTGTGAGAGAGAAGGGGTGAGCGTGAGGGAGGGACCGTGTGTGAGAGAGAAGGGGTGAGCGTGAGGGAGGGACCGTGTGTGAGAGAGAAGGGGTGAGCGTGAGGGAGGGACCGTGTGTGAGAGAGAAGGGGTGAGCGTGAGGGAGGGACCGTGTGTGAGAGAGAAGGGGTGAGCGTGAGGGAGGGACCGTGTGTGAGAGAGAAGGGGTGAGCGTGAGGGAGGGACCGTGTGTGAGAGAGAAGGGGTGAGCGTGAGGGAGGGACCGTGTGTGAGAGAGAAGGGGTGAGCGTGAGGGAGGGACCGTGTGTGAGAGAGAAGGGGTGAGCGTGAGGCGCTGCCCTTCAGGGAAGGATTCCGCACCTGCTGGCGGTTGGGGGGGGGGGGGGGAAGCTTCACCTGAACCTCCATCGTCACACCTTCCCTGCACACTGAGGGAAGGATGGATTGTGAATGTGAGGGAGAAAGGCTGTGTGTGTGTGTGTGTGTGTGTGTGTGTGTGTGTGTGTGTGTGTGTGTGTGTGTGTGTGTGTGTGTGTGTGTGTGTGTGTACTCACCTAGTTGTGTTTGCGGGGGTTGAGCTCTGGCTCTTTGGTCCCGCCTCTCAACCGTCAATCAACAGGTGTACAGATTCCTGAGCCTATCGGGCTCTGTCATATCTACACTTGAAACTGTGTATGGAGTCAGCCTCCACCACATCACTGCCTAATGCATTCCATTTGTCAACCACTCTGACACTAAAAAAGTTCTTTCTAATATCTCTGTGGCTCATTTGGGCACTCAGTTTCCACCTGTGTCCCCTTGTGCGTGTTCCCCTTGTGTTAAATAGACTGTCTTTATCTACCCTATCAATTCCCTTCAGAATCTTGAATGTGGTGATCGTGTCCCCCCTAACTCTTCTGTCTTCCAGCGAAGTGAGGTTTAATTCCCGTAGTCTCTCCTCGTAGCTCATACCTCTCAGCTCGGGTACTAGTCTGGTGGCAAACCTTTGAACCTTTTCCAGTTTAGTCTTATCCTTGACTAGATATGGACTCCATGCTGGGGCTGCATACTCCAGGATTGGCCTGACATATGTGGTATACAAAGTTCTGAATGATTCTTTACACAAATTTCTGAATGCCGTTCGTATGTTGGCCAGCCTGGCATATGCCGCTGATGTTATCCGCTTGATATGTGCTGCAGGAGACAGGTCTGGCGTGATATCAACCCCCTAGTCTTTTTCCTTCTCTGATGCCTGAAGAATTTCCTCTCCCAGATGATACCTTGTATCTGGCCTCCTGCTCCCTACACCTATCTTCATTACATTACATTTGGTTGGGTTAAACTCTAACAACCATTTGTTCGACCATTCCTTCAGCTTGTCTAGGTCTTCTTGAAGCCTCAAACAGTCCTCTTCTGTTTTAATCCTTCTCATAATTTTAGCATCGTGTGTGTGTGTGTGTGTGTGTGTGTGTGTGTGTGTGTGTGTGAGGGAGAGAGGCTGTGTGTGTGTGTGTGTGAGGGAGAGAGGCTGTGTGTGTGTGTGTGTGTGAGGGAGAGAGGCTGTGTGTGTGTGTGTGTGAGGGAGAAAGGGTGTGTTATTAAGTAGGAAGTGTGTGCGTTTGGGAGGGAGTGTACTCACCTATTTGTACTCACCTATTTGTGCTTGCAGGGGTTGAGCTTTGGCTCTTTGGTCCCGCCTCTCAACTGTCAATCAACTGGTGTACAGGTTCCTGAGCCTATTGGGCTCTATCATATCTACACTTGAAACTGTGTATGGAGTCAGCCTCCACCACATCACTGCCTAATGCATTCCATCCGTTAACTACTCAGACACTGAAAAAGTTCCTTCTAACGTCTCTGTGGCTCATGTGGGTACTCAGTTTCCACCTGTGTCCCCTTGTTCGCGTCCCACC